TTTTTTTTGTATTTTGTGCTGCATATTCATCCGTAAGGGCTAATAATTTAAATCTGGGATCCAGAAAGGTAGCTAAAGAAAATGTGTTGCTTTTTTGAACATTACCTAACCGTTCCCGAATACCATTTATAAAAATATCGAGAACTTTTCGCACTGCATTCGGCCACACTTCTGCTCGTAAATGCCTACAGACGTCCAGAAGGCCATTTGTAATGGGAATCACCAGCGAACCCGTGCAATAAGTTTCGCCACTTATGCTTATTGTAGCATCTTTGAAAGGTTGACATATTTTGCATAAGTCGTTGACAATCTGCCATTCTTCGGTGGATAAAGTAGGAATCGTTTTATTTAAAATAACTAGTGTGCATTTTATTGCTTCTTCCAATGCGGCAAACCGTTCCATCATCGCAAGCGTGGAATTCCACCGGGTTTCAACCTGCTGTATTAGCTTTAGTGGCTCCTTGCCACTGTTTCGCTGATAATTGAGAAAGGCTTCGTTAGCTGAAGAGCTTTTCTTAAAATAAGAAACTATTGCTTTAACCTTCTCAATTATATGGTTAACTTCAGGAAGTCGTAACCCTTCTTTCACAATCAGGTTCATTGTATGAGCCATACATCCGAAATGCTTCCAGTTCAATTTGGCAATAATGGCACTTTTTATATTGCTTGCATTATCGGAAACAGCAAGCAAAACTTTGCTTTCTATTTTCCAATCACATACAATTTTTTGTATTGCATTTGCTAAGTTTTCAGCCGTGTGGTTTATATTAAGTTCAGAAGCCGCCAAAAGTATGGACTTAAGCTCGAATTCCTGCGAGACGAAGTGTGCTGTAACCGCAATAAAACTGGAAACATTGCGAGATGTCCAACAATCAGTTGTGATGCAAAATTGATCACCGCCTTCAATGATTTCCTGCATTTTATGTTTGCACTTTTCATACTGCGCAGGAATCATGGTTTTTGAAATAACCCGTCTGCTTGGAAGTTCGTAGTTTGGATTCAACGATCTTACAATCTCCCTGAATCCTTTGTCTTCCACTAAACTAAATAGCTGTAACAATTTATTGTTCAAATCCTGCTTTGAAGATTGCCGATANCCACAAAAATCACAAAACTTTCACTTAGCTTCGGTTATTATCACACTAAGATGCTCGTAGGCACTTTTTATAGCAACTTTTACTCAAAATTAGCACAATAAACTTTGCAAAATACAAAGACCAATCAAGGCACAATATAAGTAGAACTTCACAGCTTGATTCGGTCACTTTTTCATAAAATTGCCAAAGGGAACTACTTTTGGCTTTATTGACCGACATTTTTTATAACTGCGCACAGATTTTAGCTCAAAATTTTCGTTATTCAATTTGCAACTAAAGCAGTCACAGCACAAGAACAACGGTTTTCAAAACGGTGTCATTCTGGCTTCTATTTTTTACAACCAGTGTTGTAGTTCTTCCCTCCGATAAAAAAAAATCCTTTTTCAAACGAAATTTTCGTATACAAACCTAAATACATTTTCATTAACGAAAAACGTTGATTCATTCACAGAAAGCAATATTTATAAAACAAAAACTCTGAAATTTAGTTCTTTAATATTAAGAAAACAAGTTCAAAAATAACTATAATAAAAAAATTTGGCTTACAATCCCTGTTTAAATATAAATGCCAAAACTTCTTTTTATGTGAATCTATTACTTTGTTTATACCAATGTACATATAACCGCATTTACAAAAAACCTATTTGACTCAACACATATTTCATTCAAAAGTTGATGCCTGTGTCTCTATAGCGCCCTCGCTGAAACAGTGTTCAAATGTAAACAAAATTTGTTGTTTTCTTTCGATATTTCTTGAATAAATAATTTGCGCGATTGACCGAAGTGGAAGCGAACAATAATTGAAATTTATTACAATAATTAAAATTTAAAACGGAAATCAGCCTATATTCACTTCGCGTCAGATGAGTCATGAGTTTATACATGTTTTCTAACCGAAGTGAGAAATAAAAAACCGATTTGAAAACAACATCGATTCAATACACTTTTCAATTTCAACGCGTTTTGAAATTTAGTTTATGCATCCGTTTTGATTCACAGCGAACTGTTTCAAAGCGCGTTATATGTCGGATAAACAAGGTATTAAACGTTTTTTATTTGCTTTATCAATTTTAAATCATTATAGATCTTGTTTACACAATTTATATGAAGTACGTGCATAGTAAAAATTCCTTACAGTTCAAGCGCATTTTCCTCCATCCGTAACGGAAATTTCCTTAAGCAAAATCACTGTTCGCAGCTTGCCGATACGTAATTGCGACTTTATCACAGTCACAATTCGTCAGCAGCGATTGTGACTGTGACTGGTATTGCTTTTGTGAAATCTTACTACAAACACATCATTGCGACTGTTCCTTTGTCACAGTCTGTCACAGTGACTTCTTGGAAGTTGTCACAGCAGTTACCCGTGACTTTTGGGTAACCATGACAAAGTCACAGGTACGCAAATATCTGCCACCTCTACCGGCAACGCCACGTTTCACAAACAGCTTTTTACTAGGGCTATGATGTTTTTAGTATAAAAAGCATGAGTGGCATAACCGGGATTTAAAACACTGGAAAAGTTGTGTGGAATTGTTCAAATATAAAATAAATTCAAATAGAATAAACTGAAAACATATTAAAAGCAATTTAAACATAATATGGTTCATTGCCTGAAACCAACGGCTTTTGCAAATTCAAAAGGAGGCCAAGAAAGTCACAGCCCTACATTTTAGTTTCTCGCCAGTGCGTTGCCACTTTTTCAAGCACTTTGCTTCATGAATTCGCGAACTATGCATAAATGGGACCATTTTTGAATTCACGAAATGGAGATTTCATGAATTCTGTTTCATAAACGTAGTATGTGTGGCAAATAACTAAACATTTCCCATCGAACCTTTATCTTCTGTGCCAGTCACACAGCCCTCAAAAGCTTAAAAATGTATATATTATTATATATACACCAAGATATTCCGCCAGAACATTGTATATTGCATCCAAAATTTCCTTCAGGAACAGAGATAGCTCTTTGGTACTCTGAAGCTCTCAGAAGGCTTAAATAGCTGTCACGCATAGCTAAGAACTTCAAAAATATCTGCAGCTTTATTCTCGGCGTGAGCGTCTGACGAAACTTTGTGTACTGTTTTCTAATTAGTGGAAACACTTTTTCAAACAAAAATTCAAATTGGTCAGGGGTCATACGCAAGCATTGTTTAAAATAAGTGTCATCTTCTGACGCCAACTCCCTGTAAAAATGTTCGGATGCATCCGAAGCTTCACGCCGGCTTATCCAATTTCGAACCCAGATTTTCCTCTTTCCAAGATTATTTCTTTCACTCCTTTTGAACTTGTTATACAATAGATTTTGTGACTCAACGACCACAAATTCGATGCCAATTGTTAAAATTTTGCGCTGTAAATCAATTTTATTTTATAAACAAGCAATTCGCGTTCAACAAAAAATCGACCAATGTAAACAGGTAAGGCAACAATTTTGCATTCAATGTATTCAACTCTCGCATTCAACAAAAAGTTGAATGAAAAGTTCAATAATGCAAACACTGATTTAGTTGACGAAAACCAGGGTTCGTATCGTTGGATTGCTAAATAAACGCTCAAGATTTCCTAAAAAGAGTGCAGTTACTTTTATTGTACAACAAACACTTTACAATACTCGCTAGTGCAACAACAACACTTTACAATACTCGCTTAGACAATGACATCGCTTTACAAAACTTACTAACACAATTTATCTTTGTTCCACAATTTAACTTGTAACATGCTCATTCGCAACTGCCTTGTGGTACGCTGTAGCAACGGCTTTATAAGCCTGCGCTCGAACTCATGGCAACCCTACGTCTTTCATATAAAATTCTGCCATTATCTTGTTGTTCGCTTCGCGTTGCCGCAGTATTCGCCACACTGCCCTCCACCTAAGTCTGATCGTCCCGATCAGACACACTTGCTGTTCCAAACGCTTCAAGCATTTCCAAGTGACCCACCTTCATCTTGTTTCTCGGTCTCCCAATGGTCTGGAATCGATACACTCCGTCATTCAGCCGTTTCACAACCTTATACGGACCTTCCCAGTTGCATTATAGTTTTGGGGACAAATCTTTCCTCCGTTGTGGATTGTACAGCAACACAAAATCTCCCTTTTGGAAGCCCCTTAACATTAATAATAATAAATTGGCGCTTACACAAAGGGGAGGGACCTACAGTTTTACACCGACTCCGCATGACGATTGCATTTTTATAAGAAGCTAATTTTCATGGCAGAAATACACTCGGAGGTTTGCCATTGCCTACCGAGGGGCGACCACTAATAGAAAAAAACTTTTTTTTTGTCTTTTATTTTTTGATGTTGAGTTGAACCGGGCTTGAACCCAGGATCTGCGGCGGCTTTCATCTTATCACCCATAATTTGCGTACGTTGTCTCACCAGAGCATGTATCTCTCTCAGCTCTTCCTTCGGGATGTTGGACGTCTATTTCTCAATCCTCCTTGCATCGCCGCTTACTCCAAACTTCCGGTCACAAGACAAACGGAGTTCACTGTCGGGGATTACCCTTGCACTGTCGAAGATTAGCCGTTGTTTAATGCACTGCGGACCGGTATCCCATCAGGATGAAAGGTATGTGGACATCCCAATCTTTCTGATTCGTATCCATGACTTTCCGCAAATGCTCAGCCAGGGTTCCGTTGAACCGTTCCACCATGCCATCTGATTGGGGATGAAGAGCCGTTGTTCGAGTTTTCCGGATATCCAGTGTCTGACACATCTCTCGGAACACCGCTGATTCAAAATTTCTTCCGTGGTCAGAGTGCAGCTCTATAGGTACACCGTATCTCGCAACCTAATTGTAGGTAAATAAAACCGCTACTGTTTCAGCTTCCTGGTTTTTAATCGGATATACGTCTGGCCATTTGCTAAAGTAGTCCACAACCACAAGGATGTTTTTCAGTGCGCCCATAGGAAATGGACCTGCTACATCCATGGCAATCCGCACGAATAGTGCACCTGAGTTATACTGCTTCATCTCGCCATGACTCCTGGATTTCGGTCCTTTAGCTGCAATACACTCCGCGCAGTTAGCAATCTACTCTCCGATCGATTGCCGACAACCAACCCAATAGAACTACTACTTGACCTTGTCCAGGGTCTTCGTGATTCCCAGGTGCCCCCCACTAAGACCATTGTGGAATTCCTTGAGCACATCAGGAATTCTTACCCTTGGAACTACTATTGGGTGGCGGGAGCACTGGCCATCTTCACTTTCCCATACCCCGTGTACCCAGCCATATATCAACTTTAAGCTGTTCCATTTTGCCCAGTATGCCTTTGCGAGTGCTTTTCGCTGCCATTTGCGCCTTAGTTGGCCATCTACCCATCTTCAGTCCATGCATTAAAAGCTCTAGATCTGGATCTTCCTGCTGACACTTTCGTAGCTGTTATTCTTTGCACTCTTCTGCTGCTGTTATTGTCGTAAGCCGGACGTCTATAATGTCTTCTTTGGCCTCAGCTTTCGAGCAGTGCTTACATTCCAGGCTGCATGGTCTTCGGGACATAGCATCAGCATTTCCCGTGGGCACTTCCCTTGCGGTGTTCAATAGCTAAGTCGTAAGTTTGCAGTATCTCAATCCACCGAGCTAGATGTTCTTCTGGATTCTTGAACTGTAGTAGCCACTTCAGTGCTGCATCCGTTCGAACTTGGGGCGTAGGTACTTGTGGAAATGTTTGACGCACTCCACCAACGCTAGTAGTTCTCTCCGAGTTACACAGTAATTCCTCTCTGGTTTTCCAATCGACCGGCTATAGTAGGCAACTACCTTCTCCTGCCCATCAATTACCTGCGACAGTACGACCCCTATGGCACAACCACTAGCATCTCTATCCAAAATAAACGTTACACCTGGA